AAGATAGCAAAATAAGCCTACCGTAGCCAGAAGAAAAGAAATAATAAAGATTTGAGCAGAAATCAATGAAACAGAAAATAGAAAGACAATAGAAAATATCAACAACACTAGAAATTAGTTCTTTGAAAAGATTAATAAAATTGACAAACCATTGGCAAATTTAACAAATGAAAAGAGGGAGAGAATACAAGTAACACAAATAAGAAATGAATTGGGTGACAGCAAGAGAGAACTGACAGAAATTAAAAGGATAATATCAGGATACTATGAAGAAATGTACTCCAACAAATTTGCAAATCTGGAAGAAATGGACAGATTTCTAGAAACACACCACTTACCTAAACTAACACAGACTGGTGTGGAAAAGTTGAACAGACCCATAACAAAAGAAGAGATTGAACAGATCATGAAAAAATTACCCAGAGAAAAACCCCCTTGCCCAGACGTTTTCATTGGCAAATTCTACTGAACATCAAGAGAACTGACACTGATCCTACTCAAACTATTTCAGATCATAGAAAAGGATGGAATCCCCCCAAATTCATTTTATGAAGCAAGCATAACCTGGATACCAAAACCAGGCAAAGACATCACTAAAAAGGAAAACTACAGACCAGTATCCCTCATGAATATAGATGCAAAAATCTTCAACAAAATTCTAGCCAATACACTCCAACAACAAATGAAGAAAAGCATTCATATGACCAAGAGGGGTTCAGACCAGGTATGCAAGGATGGTTCAGCATTAGAACAATGAACGTCATCCATCACATAAACAAAACAAAGGAAAAGAACCACAGGATCATATCAATCAATGCAGAAAATGCATTTGATAAAATCCAACATCCATTCCTGATCAAATCTCTCAGCAAAATAGGAATGGAAGGGACATTCCTCAATATAATAAAGGGCATATATGCAAAACCAACAGCCAACAATAACAATGATTGGTTAAAAATCTGTTTTTGGGGTGGTGGGGGTGGCGGTGCACCTCATTTGGGAATGATTTACCCAGAGTCATCCAGCCCAATACCTAAAAAGATAGCTTTTGATCCCAACTCAGCCCAGTAAAACATCCTATTTTCTTCTATTATTCTAAAAGACAAGTAGATCACCCCCTTACCTCCTGCATAAGCCAAAGGCATTCCTGGTAATACTGGACGCAGTGAACATAAATGTGGCTTATGGATTTTTGAGTTGGTAAAAATATTTAATCCTGCAGACTGGAAAAATGTTAATGATTATTGACAATCTAATTTTGAGACTGGAATTTGTTTCTCAAACTTGTATTACATTTTCCCTATTATCATACATCTTATAGGGTAATCATGTAAATTCCATGCAATAGTGAGACAAGCAATTTTATAAATGTGAAACTGAGCCACAGAAAATCAAGTTCATTTAGTTAATGAATGTTAGAATTGGAACTGGACCCTACTTTCTGATTCCTATTTCAGAATTTTGTCATCTATCTTCTGATTCCACTTTATATTTTGCACCCAGGAAACTAAGTATTAAGTCCTAGATGCTTTCTTCTTTTCTTCCCCCTCTCAAATAAAAATCTGTAGCTATATTTATCTCTATATCTATCAACATTCATATCTATACATATAATCCTATGACTTTATTGTAGAGAGTAATTTTTTAAAACAGTAGGGTTGCATATTGTTTTTATACAACATAATGAATATTTTTGCATATTTTTCTTCACAATCTTAGTGAACTTTGCTTTATTTATGTTTTATTGGAAGATAAGCCTTTTCCTGAATATCTATGCTCAAATCATCCCTTTCAGATTTGTCTTTTCTTTTTTCTTTCCTATAGGAGCTCTGGTAGCATAGTGCCTAAGGCATTTGACTGCTAACCAGGAGGCTGGCGGTTCAAACCCACCAGCCACTCCTCAGAAGGAAGGTTGGGCAATCCTACTTCCGTAGTGATAACTGCCTCGGGAACCCAAGG